ATGCATTAAGCAGAGAAAACCTAGAAGACATTATCACTCAAACCCATGTGGAAGTATTACCTTGTAGAATGTTACGCTCAAAATCTGTGAGAAATGGCTTTATAAATGTTTGGAAATAACATAAGTGTTACGAAAGCATAACCATTCAATCCTTATTACGATAAAGCAAATTAATATTGACTATGATATACCCCTTAGCCTTCTCACATTTATACATAGCTACCTGAAAATGAGTCGGTATACCTCGTGGATTAGTAAAACAGTATATGTATCTATTTAGATTTACATTCGTTGTCTGTCATATCGACATCCTTGCGAATATAGTGACATCTAGCGAGGAGTCAAACCCTACACTCAAAAGCACACTAGTGATGAAACGATGTCAAATACTTGGTCAACCATTATGTTACTTATAAATGTGACTTGCTAGTTTAAGATTGACACTATTTTGTGATACCGACAAAGATATGACATTGACGCCGTTGTGTGTTGCTAACAAAAATAACACTGACACAATTCTTTTTGCTGCAAACACGAAGGCTTTGATCCAATTGTGTGTTGCAAAACATAGAATGATATTTATGCAACTGTGTGTTTCTGACAAAGAAATGAAACTTGCCCGATATTGTGTTGGTGACAATGAAATACCGTTGACGCCAATTTGAGTTGCTGACAAAGAGATAACTTTACCGGCTATTCAAGCTAACAAGTGACTTTTTCGATTAAGGCTAATTTACATTGGCGACATTTTATATTGACATACCCGCTTTTATAAACTGCCATTCGTTAGCATATGTCGTTTGAAAGTGTTAAACATATGTTGTTCCGTTTCCTTGAACCGATAGTACACCAGCAACGTCACCCTCCTGGTAACGTAAAGTGATGACAAGAAATGCGGATAAAGAACAAATCTGTATACACGTCTGTGTCTGTAGATAAAGAAAGCCTAACAAAACAAACATTTTACGGTACCATATGATCATTTCGTCCATTTAGAAATCTTGGGCGGTACTACAGGTAAAATGAAAAGTCCATATTTAATATGTAGAGTACGGCGATAAGGGAAAAAAGGAAATATTTCTTTAAAACTTTTAGAACGTCAAAACTTTTGTTACATTTGGCTACAACGAACAATTTACTATCAAACAAGTATTCCATGTAATTCTTGCCAGAATATATTCAAGATACAATGTTACATTCAACCTCGGGGGCTGATAGTCATCCAGTAGCTACAAGATTATAGCCGACCGTGGGGACTGATAGTCCACCGGTAGCTACATGTTTACGGCCAACCTCTGATGCTGATAGTCCAGATACAAGGTTACAGCCGACCTCGGGGACTGACAGTCCAGCAACAGGGTTACGGCCGACCTAGGAGACTGGTAGTCCCGCTACAAGGTTACAGCCAACATTAGGGACTGGTAGACGAGCTACAAGGTAACGGCCAACCTCGGGGACTCATAGTGATCTAGTAGCTACAAGGTTATAGCCAACCTCGGTGACCGATAGTCTAGCTACCAGGTTACAGCCAACATCAGGACTGGTAGTCTAGCTTTAAGTACAAGCAGTCCAGTTGCAAGATTAAAGCATCAGGAACTGACAGGCCCTCCATTTCTAAAATACGAACTCAGGACGCACCTACTAATCCGCATAAGAAACCTGTAACAATGTTGGGGGGTTTTGGGATAAAGCATAAAACATGCCCGGTGTTACGTTCATCAACAAAGCAGCGACAACTTTTGCAAAATATTGAGTGATATACAGGGTGAACCTAACTGCATCACACCTATGTTTGATTTAGAAATAGTACATATCTTAAGATATTTATTATAAAATCCGTGCTCGTCAGACAGGCTGTTTGTTTGTTTGGAGTTTAACGACCTCGCAACAGCCAGGGTCATATAGTGCCGATGGAGATACCGCCGGGGTCGTATAAGAACGGGTGCCAATGTGGATACCGTCGAAAAGAGAATGTAGGCCAATAAGACTGAAGACAGGAAAAATAGAGAGAGAACGAGACAGATACCAAGTGGTGTAGTGGGACAGCAGACTATTAATTATTTAGTAAACGACCCTGAGAAAACCCATTGAATCTAGAGGGGACCCTACAAGGTCGCATTTTACGATCACATGCACACAGCAGGTCCATTCTTTGTTTTGTCAATGTCCCGTAAAACAGAGGTAAAGGAAGTAACCCCCCGATCCGCGGATTTGGGGGGGGGGGGGGGGGGAGGGGACTTTAGACGACTCGTAAGATGTATGATACTACAGGCCCATGTTTAGTCGCAATCCCAATAACAAAGTAAGCTGTGTCTCACGTTCATTCTTCATTTATATGTTATAAGAATCAACTGGCAATTGTAAAACGGGATACAAAGTAGAGTGTGGACCTGTTCCTAGATAAAGCAACAAAAACAGCAAACGTGTATGTCTTTCTAAGACTATTTTAGTATAATCAGTGTTCAGTTCCTGTTTGTGTTCATACCAAACTGATGAATCTTATTTCTAATAATTTTGTAGTATATCTCACAAGTACATGCTTTCGCTATGTCCAAATGAACATCCGCTTCCAGAAAAAACCGAGATAACTTCGTAAAGAGATTACAAAATACTGTTTCTTTACTTTCTTTATGATTCCAGGAAATATTCGACAGTATTTTATGACTAGGTGGTATTAATGGCCCAATACAGACTCGATGTTGACAACTTTTACCACCGGTTTACGAACAGCAATAAAACACTTCAGATTGAACATAATCATGTAAAGTCTCAAGTTTGTCGTATATTGTCGATTTCTACAAACATATATTATCAGATATTTATTTTCATCAGGACCAGTATACAACGAATACACGGCAAACTGTTCAATAGACCCATTAATTTAATGATACAGACGATACCCTAACAAAGCGAATTAACGACAGTAGCTCTCTAACATTTTTGTTTTATTTCACTCCATAAGGGCAGTTTTGTTCTGTCTCTACAATAATTAAAAGATAGGTTTGCATTACTATTTCTGTATTTTTGAAGCATCTCGGCCATGTTCTGTTTGTTGTAAACCATCAAATATGGCAAAACAACATGGATATCTAAATAAGTTTTATTGCCTTTGATTTTATTTAAAATACCACCCTAACGAGATATAGCTTATCTGTGAAATGTACTTTCTTTATGTGGTATTCGATGGGTCTACATTCCAACGAGGCTACGCACATTGAATACAAGCATTATCTGAATCTCAAGTTTCCTAACCGATATGCTTAATGCATGCACAATCTGAGCATCAGAACTGAAAGCGACACTATGTTAGTACAGGACGACATCGCAAAAATGCAGAAATGGAAAAGAGGGAGAAAATGTGGTAAATTAATTAATCTTTGAAACAAATGAAGAAATACATATCATTTGCAAGAGACAATAATCAACGTTTTATATGTGACCCCTGGATGCAACACCGTTGGAGGTATCAGAAGGCCGAATAACTTAGGAATTAAGTTCGATGGAAAGCTCACTTGCCAATTTCCCATCAATCTCATGAGAGGGAAAGCAAACCACGCCACTGATGTCCTCCGAATGTATATCCCGAGCTGCCACAAGAACAACAGGGAAACATTCTAAAAACTACATTTCTTGTTCGTCACTAAGTATGATACCTGTCTTTCACAGGACTACTCCTACAAGAACTACATCGCAAAGATAAACTCATCATCTAGGCGAAATTAATATCGTTTCCGCCAACGACTTTAATACGGTCAAATATATAGAGGTACCTTTACTTCCATCTGATATACACTGTATCACTATCGAAATTTCTACGTCAGGAAGTCCTCTAGAACACAGATGTGACCGACTTGTATATGCTGCATCCATTGTAGCAATAATACTTTCGGTGTTTCCCTCTCTTACCTGTTCTTTATAGTCGTTGTCGGTCAACAAATGTCTTTCTTTATTCACCGCATTTTTGGGAGGTGTCATTCCCCGGTGACCCTGAGTATCGCAGTGTGCTATGTTTGTACGGTTTTGATTTTGTTAATTCATAGCAAAATAGTTGCAACACAAGAGGATTTAGATAATCATAGTTATCCTACCAGATAATATGAGTGTATTTAAAATGTTTTACATAAACCACAACAGTCTTAATAAGGTATTTATTCAGGTCTTTGCGAAAATTAGTATTCACGTTTAATTTGTTATGAATGGTTAATGGATATTTGATAATATTTCGGATATGAATGATTAAACATGTTGTTTATCTGTTAGATTTAAACCAGAATTTTTGATTATATATTCACACAAAAAAGACACTATTTCACAAACAGTACGTTTATGTACTGAGAATGCAGAAACATTTTAATTCATCCTTTTTCGCAAGATAAATATGCAATAAGTTCTTAAAAGATAGTCTGAAGTGTTAATGAATATGAATAAGCCGTTAATTGATGTGTACATTGATCAGTTGCAATGCTCTGTTTTCTTACTGTCAACCAGGAAGTGAAAAATAGTTAGGATAACATTAATTCTAATAAATCTTAATGACTCTTCAACACACACGTACAACTATGACATGTTTAAAAAGAATGCGGAAAGGACAAATAGACCTTTATGTCTTATGGGCTACTTTTTGTTTGCAATCCATTTATGTTTAACAATCTGTTTCAAGTTTTAAAAATATGTGTTGATGTGCATGTAAGTAGGTATGATGATAATAAATTTTCAACTGTGACAGGGACAACAATTAATCGTATGTGTGTGCAAACGATCACAATCCAGCTGCACGTACATGTACTCACGATATTTTATTGAAATATTTAAAGCTTCTGTGACAAATTTATGATTTTGGAAGATGTGGTAATATTTCTCTTTTTTTTCATCAATGAAGTGGCATATTTGAATTGAAGACTACGCATGCGCAGTATCTTTGCATATGTTTTGTTATGTAGTTAAGGTGTATCCTTAAACAGACCAATAGGAGCGGAGGCGGCACACCATTTATGACGAAAGGGATGAACATTATATAAACGGCCTTTTACTTCACAACTCAGTCAATTAAATACACTCAACGGGCAACACAAAATATCATTACTCTGTCGAAACCTAGTGCTGAAGGTAAGAAAATTTTAAGATTAATATACTTTAACTTTTATGTCAAACAAACTATGTCTCTCCTTAGTTTCAAAGTACACTTTGGGAATCATGCTGCTTTCTTCTGGTTTCGTGTGTCATCAATTTCTGGGTGTTTTTTTTTTATATATATAAATTTCGGATCTTAGTTCCTAGTTTGATATTGTGCGTTACAGCACAACTTAAAAACCCCATGTTAGTAATAACGCGCGTCGGAAATAGTCAAATTAGAGTAAATAAAAGCAATACAGAGTTTTTTATTAATCCGGCGTAGATATTTCTTTATGATATAAATATATCCAAAATCATTAAGAAATAGTTAATTATTGTCTCTTGCAATTATTTGTTTTCGTCTTAAATCTTACGTTTGTTTGCAGGTACAATTCTGAAGTCATAATATTTATAGCGTACTCAGATGCAACCGCATACTCTTGCATAATGCCTAAGTCACATTTGCCACGGTGGCCGTGGAATCTAAAATATCTACGGCCAAAAACAATTATAGGTCCGCCGCAGAATTTCCACAGTCACATACTATAGCAGTCACATATGTTAGGGTAGCCGCACGGCGTATTTTGAATTTGTGGATACATAAAACCTGCGGTTGCCGCACGGCATTTGAAGTGATGACGCACGGTCGCCTTAGGGCGTCCCTGCGGCGGCCGTAGGTTTTTGACAAATACCAAGGCAGACGTGAGGTAGCCGCAAGGCGCCCGCAAGGCGGCCGCACGGGGACCCTAAGGCGACCGCTCGGTCTGACAGACTAACGCTACCACTACGAAAACGCAAGGCCACCGTACGCCCGACGTATGGTCGCCGTGGAACAGATTTACGGCATAGCTACGGCGTGCCTAATTGCTACGGCGAACGTAGAAATGAAAAAGGTTATAACTCCGCGTTATAATCCTACGGCGACCCCTACGGCCTGTAAAAGATAGGGATACGTCCTACGGCGACCGTGAGGCCACCGCAGATTATCTTTATTTTCAACTCATAAATCAACTCATTAAATTTATAAAGATCTGTAGATCATAAAGCGGACAAAGGAAATAAAATGATCCAGAAATAAAATGATCCAGAAAATAAAAAATAACATGAAGAATATAGATCGAGTGTTATTCCCAACGTCGTGGAACAGGCCTCGGGTTCCTAGTTTATCAAGTTTCATAAGATTAAGAAAAAAAACGTGTGCCGAGGTGTGACTATTTTTGTACAGCATCTTGTGTAATCGTTTTGATCTACGTACATGTATGTTTCGTTTTTTTAAGGTTTCAGAAATATGATAATTGTTTGATAATTTTCTTTATTGTAGATAATAAAATTGGTTGCTGAGGTACTGATCCGTGTTTTACAAGTTCATATTATCCTGTTCCTGGCAGTAACGAAATACAATACAAACTAGGTTGATGGTCAATTTGAGGTGATACAACTACCTGTAAACTGGCATTATAACTCATTTGCGTTTAACAAATCAATACTCAATGTCGGCTTCAACACATTTTTTCTTATTACCTACGTTGCAATAAAACTTACTTTGTTAGTTCCGATTTCTAGGTAATTTTCCTTCTTTGAACGTTGACAAGGTAACAGCATACAGTCGTAGGCGTGTGGACGAGGGGATATGATTGTTCTGTCTGCTGTGTGTTTGTGTATGGACGATCTGGCCTCCACCTAATAAATAACCAGTTGGCCGATATTTTTGATTTCTTGTGTGTTATACTATTTACCTGTGGTAATTCAAAGCCATTATCAATTACAGAGTTACGCAATGATAAATATCATTTTTCCTACGACCGTCTATCTTTACTACAAGATGATATGTTGTACACTGTCTATTTTTGTAAGAAGAGGGCGTTCATAAACTTAACCTGTTCCGCAATTTCCTTTGGTATCTACGATCTTAACAAGTACATATTGTAAAATCGCTACTGTTTATCAGTTTACAAATAAACAAACAAATACATATACAATATTGTAACATCGTTGCTGTTTATCAGTTTACAAATAAACACATATACACATATATAATATTGAATCATCGTTACTGTTGATCAGTTTACAAATAAAAACATAGACACAAATATAATCAACAACCCTATCTACATCATTATAAAACAAGGATGAGCGATGACAGTCTCTGTCGTCCTTTCCTTCGGTGTCATGTGTTTTCATGTTGTCTTTCCTTTTTTATGTTCGTCTTCTATTATATTATTAGCTGCGATTTCGTTCTTAATTTATTACATCCTTTTTTTTCTGAAATCCATGTCATATTCATAAAGAACTTTATTTTTTTCTTATTTTAAAGATGGCAAATTGCAAACAGTCTGGCGTGCGTGTACATTTTCTATTGTATGTAACAGGTAAGTCATTCATTTTGGCATGAGTTAATGCATTTATTTATAATACCTGCGCAATAAGACCGCAATGTGATCAATATCTCAACACGTGCATTCTCCTATCCAATGTTAATCATTGTTATACATATAAATTAAATACCTTGTAATTAATTTACAAATATATATATTTATGAATTTGTAGTTATATTCTTTATCTACAAGTGATATAGATAAGTTATCAATATTTTTGATGTCATGATTTTAATTCTTTTTTTTTGATACCTAGATTTGAAATCTTTTTTAAAAATCGTTTTGAAATGGAATAAAACAAATATTAAATTATGTAGTCTTTAGGAAGATAAAATAGTTCCATACATACTATAAACAAACAGACCAATGTTAACCTAACGTTTCCCCACATTGCACTTTAAAAAAAAATCGCATATCATTTGTCATCATATTTTATCTATTTAAAACATGTGAACAAAGAATTGTTACAAAATTATAAAGATGACGTGATAAACAAAGCAAATACTGTTTGTCACTGTTTAACCCCCAGCTGAATGACACCATCGGTTCTAAACGTCAAGCACATCTCGTTGTTTTGTTCATATGTTATTTTTAATAATTACCATATAATTTTGATGTTATGAATATATTCAATTGCTTTTATTGTAAAAATTACATCTTCAACGACAAAATATATATTTTATACTTTAACAATTTATTTATATACTTTATAGTGTTTTACGTAATAGTGCCCATCGTAGCTATGTCGAGTACGTCGACACCCGTCGAAACAAGTACCACACTTGTGTCAACCGAGGGAGCAACTACCGATTCAGTGTCAACCGAGGGAGCAACTACCGATTCAGTGTCAACCGAGGGAGCAACTACCGATTCAGTGTCAACCGAGGGAGCAACTACCGATTCAGTGTCAACCGAGGGAGCAACTACCGATTCAGAGTCATCCGACGTAACAAATACCATTCCAACGTCAACTGTAATTACTGATAAGTCAACGCGTACGACGACCGATTCAACGAACACCACTTTATCATTTGATAGTGGTGCTTCGAAATGCGAGGGAGGGCTACCCGTCAACAGCATCATCATTTCAGTCCTCGCTTTACTTTATATTGGATAGATCCAATAAATACCTACAATGGGATAATGTTAGTACAGATTCAGGAAGAATACATTACAAATCGAAATATTATGAAGAATAGTTTTTGATAACCTACCCGTTGATTTTTGTGTTTACAAGGTTAATGACATGCTATTCTGATAACAATGTGATTAGCAAGGTATCCGTGGTTCGTACTGACGTCTACAACAAGTACATTCTCATTCATGAATAATCAATGACTGTGATATGCACGTGTGTTTCGTGAACTGATGTGTATTTATGTCCGTTCCGTCAATGTCTTATGCACTTTTCTGTTTTATATGCAAACATGCGTGATACTTATGTTGAAGTTATTTTCTTAAGGAGGTCACAATCGGGGAAATATGAGACAAAATGTGTATATTATACTGTCCTGTTATATGTCATATTATATTTTATATTTTTTTGTTTCAAACAACAATGCTGAAGCAGTTATGAGTATATTGTTCAAGCCTATGACTCGTGTGTACACACCAGATTGATGATGTACACGTTAGCTCTACTCATATATGTTATGTCATTAATCCGTCCAAAGGACTTGTTAAGAATGATAAAATAAGAAAATATTACTTATACATTTTCATATAGAACTATCCATATGCGATGCAAACCTAATTGATATGTTGGTTTCTTCCTGTGTTTAATAAAAATTATGTCTGATTTGTAGTTCATTGCGTGAATTTTGTATGTGGACTGTTACGAAACAAGTTACAAAGAGTACCTAAAAGTGTAATCTGTTCGTAGCTTTGCGTCATGGATAATATTGAGGTCGTCAGTTATCACGTGTCCAGCTGGACCATAGTTGTATCAGGATGTAGAACAATCACGTGATGAAGAACCCATCAGTATCATGACATTTACATTTCCAGTCTATAGTACGAATCTCTCGACCATTCACGAACAGCTCTCGTAGCTTTGCATTATGGATACTAGTTAGATCTCCAGTTACTTCATGTCCAGTATCACTATAGTTATATAAAGACGTGCAGGAAGAACATTCTGCGGGCGGATATAGTCTAAGGTCATTTAAATTCGTCTGTTGATTGCTTTCAGTTGACAGTTGAAAATCTTGGAAGCAATGGCGTTAGATGTTAGATTTTACTGGTGGTAATTGATATTACTGCTGTTACTTATTATATCCTGGACGTGCAGTGAGCAAACATCGTTACTGTATAACAGTATCCAAACACTTTAAATATCCAGAGCCTTTTTCCAACTGTCAAACTCTTAAACATTCTTATCTTTGTGTGCAAAATAAGCCCTCACTTTGTTCCACAAACATGTTTAAACAGCCTATCAGTATTCCCGATTATTTTGTTATGGACACAGACTGCGATTTATTCATCCGTCCAGATTACAGATGCAATACAGGCAGTATTATGTGTATATTTCAACTAATAATCAATCTTAGAGTAACATAGAGGGGTTTAATAGAAACTTTCCAGGCCTTCGGACGGAGGTAATCCTGAGACACAAACTCCTTAATACCTCATACCTAATACAGTGCATACACTGAGCGAAAATTACTCAGATGATATTTTTCTGTAGAAAAGCATTAATGAGTTTCTAGAGATTTTAATGTCGCTGATATCCGAATGAGTATTGCAAAGCACCATAGTTATTACAGCAATAGCAGCAATAATCCTACAAATTACATGTTGTAGTAGGAATCTGAAAGCAAACTGACAGCTTATAAAGGTTATCTCCCATTGCTCAGCATGCTTAGATGATATTATATAACAAAACAATCAATACAAGAGATACAGGTTGACAAGGACCATGGACAAGTTTTATGGTCAAAGATCTCAATAATAGAAATCGGTAGGTTTACTGTCTCCGTGTAAATATTTCCTTTGTTCATAATATGCTCTAAATAATTGTTCATTTAGGTTGTGCTCCAATGTAGAAAGGGGAGAATTCTGCTATATTTACAATATGCTGTTATGGTTTTAATCATGGATAAGCTTGCCTAGTGCACTTATTTAAATAAACATCACATCAAAATAATATTCGATATCGACATCATTATGAATTATCAAGTTAACTTATGCCAAGATAAACATCACTTCCAATTTTTTTCGGATAATAATACTAGAATGTTTAGGATCATTTCTAATTTATATCATCTCGGTAAACGCCACAGAAGAGGCGACTAATGTGGGAACCCTGTTGCGCTGTGAATTTCAATACTGTGATTTTGTTCTTACATCAGTAGAGGTTGATATCACATTCATATATATTTAAATATAATAGATTTGTTCTTCTGGCACTTAGACAAATGAGTCATAATATGACAACACATCTTTAAGAGGATTTTAAGGAATCAAATTCGGAGAAAAACTTGCGCACTAGACATGGAACCTGGGCAGGAAAGGGTGCTGTTAGGCAAATACAAAGTGTTCAATCAAACGGAACCAATGGTTGTACCCACTCTTGCCTGAACACTGATAACCTCATCCATTTAGTCACTACAAATGGTCTGTCCGCCTCGCACTCTTTCTTGCAGGGCCACACTGCACTTACAGAAGTATCAGGCATCAACACTTTTGTGCATTCTCGTAACGATACTTTCACACGGATTCCGACATCATCTGTATCGTACGAGAATTTACATGTCATCAAGCCAACAACAGCTGGTCACTGTAAGTCAGTTATTCCTCTGAATTTAGTGTCCTTAGTTAAACTGTCGCTCGGTGAATAATAAGTCATTGTCCATCGAGGCTTTTGTAACATCTCAGGACATTGACCTTTTTGCATTGACAGAAACCTGGTTAGGTTCAGATATCGATGACCAGGTCCTAGCTTAGCTAATACCAACAGGCTATGGATTCCTCCACAATGCTAGACTCGGCAAACGTGGTGGTGGTGAGGCAGTTCTGTTTAAAAAGGGCCTAAGTGTGAGACATCTCTCTTCCAGCCATGATGATGTATACACACACTTTGGGCACATGACTTGTTCTGGCATTGCTGGTGATAAACAATTGAGATTGTGTATCATTTACAGGCCTTCTTCCATCTAAACAGAATGCTTTCCGAAATACTGGTCTACTAGATTACAGGGGTCTGATTTAGCATGTGACAGAAGCTACACACCCATGGCCACACACTGGAAATGGTCATAACGAGGGAAGATAACTCAGTCATTCATGGAGCTATTTCAGTGATTGATCCATGTCTAAGTGATGTAAAGGGGAACCAATCCGGTAATCATCTTGCTGTCCACATAACACTGAATTGAAGTAAGCCAGACCGTGCAAGGAGAGAAGTGAACTTCCGGAAATTCCGCGAAATTTCAATACCAGATTTCAACAATGACATTCAGTCTTGTTCCGCCCTTCAATCTACTGAAGGCGAGGTTGGTGATCTTGTTGAAGCATACACATCTGGTATAGAAGCCCTTATAGAGAAACACGGACCTCTGCAGACTAAGGTGATAACTGTAACACCAAATGCCCCGTGGTATAATGAAAATATCCGCGTGGAAAAACAAATCCGTAGAAAAGCAGAGAGGCAGTGGCGACGGACCAAATTGGCTGTTCACCAACAGATTTATAGGGAGCAATGTCGGCTAGTTGGTTCACTACTCTTTCAGTCAAAGAAGGCTTATTATTCAGAAAGAATCGAAGAATGCGGTAAGGATAATATACAGCTTTTTAGACTCACCAAACACCTAATGGGACAGAAAGGTGAAATTATCTTACCAAGCTGTAATTCTGAAAAAGACTTAGCTAGCAAATTCAGTGATTACTTTCTGAATAAATTCAGCTCAATCAGGAAAAATATTGCCAAAGTGAACTCCTCTTCTGACATTGATATCTCTGTCATGACTGCTGACATTGCATTTGATGGGGAACCATTGGCAAAGCTCCCACCAACAACCCAGGACGAGTTGCGCAACATTATCATGACCTCGCAATCAAAGAGTTGATCCACTGCCTACAGACCTATTAAAGCAATGTCTTGAAGCACTGCTTCCTTTGATTACCTCAATCATGAACAAATCATTGGCTGAGTCAAAGGTTCCATTATGTTTCAAGAAGGCACATGCCAGACCATTGTTAAAGAAGCCTGGAATGGACAAGGAGGAGTTGAAAAACTACCGCCCAGTTTCAAATCTGCCTTTTCTGTCTAAGATCTTGGAGAAGGTTGGGTCCCGGCGTTTAGAGGTTCATCTACATGCAAACAGTCTCCATGCCAACATGCAATCTGCCTACCGCATGGGACACTCTACTGAGACGGCCCTCCTACGTGTACATAATGGTTTAGCTTCTGCATTGGATAACAAGTGCAGAGCAGTGCTTGTCAGCTGCATTTGACGTCATCGAACATGGCATACTTTATATACGTCTGGAATACTCGTATGGAGTGACTGATACCGCACTATAAGTCCTATCTGAGTGAACGACGACAGTGTGTTGCCATCGGATCTTCCACCTCACATGACAAAGCACTAGATTTCGGGGTTCCTCAAGGGTCGGTGTTAGGACCACGAAAATATTTATGTACTCCAAACCGATTGGAGAGATTTGTCGATACCGATGACACACATTTACATGGTCATCAAACCACAGGACAGTTGGAATACAGTCTAAGAAAGTCTGGAAGCTTGTCTGACAGATATCAGTATCTGGAGACTGTTCCAGCTGTTAAAAACCTAGGGGTATACTTTGATAGTTCACTGAACATGGAGAAACAAGTGAACGCTATTGCCAAATCCTGTTACTACCAGATCAGGAACATCGGCTGTATTCTGCAGATGCATGCAATATTTTGGTGCATTCACTTGTTACCTCTCGGTTGGATTATCTGACAAACTAACTAGTCGTCTGCAGAGTTCAAGAACACTGCAGCACGGCAGCACGGCAGCACGGCTAGTTACTCGTACTCGAAAGAGGGAGCACATCACACCTGTGCTTTATTCATTGCACTGGTTACCTGTTTGATACAGGTCGCAATACAAAATTCTGGTGTACAGGTACAAGGCACTGAATGGAACAGCTCCTCAGTACCTACAGGAGCTTGTTACCCTGTATCAGCCGTCACGATCACTGCGGTCGGAGTCAGAATCTTTGTTGTGTGTCCCAATATCTCGTACTGTGACCTACGGAAACAGATGCTTTGGGAGGGTTTCGGCTACGTTGTGGAATAGATTACCATCTGCTATTAGAAAGTCAAATACCCTGGCCAAGTTCAAGAGGGACATCAAAACTCACCTCTTCACGTCTGCGTTTTAGAATCCTTGCAAAGACGTCATGTAAATACCAGCCTTTTATTTGTTCAATTATGTGCACATTGCTTGCTTAAATGTATAAAAATGATTGTAAGCCTTTTTTTTTTGTTTTCACAATTATAACCATTACTATTATCCATATGTTGTAAAGCGCTTTAGAGTAATTGTACAAATTATTTAGGGCGCTATATAAATGTTGTATTTTATTATTATTATTATTAATAATATTTAATATCGACATCATCTGAGGATATGTTGAAATCTTCACAGATTATGTCAACATCTTTTAGA